TAGATAAAATGTATAGACGTCTAAATTAATGATTTAGGTAAATCACAAAATCTGTAACTAATAAGTAAAAACTATTCTACAATATCGTCATATTCACAATAAAATAAATAACTAAATAAGAAATTTCAATTGAATTACTTTCAAAGTTTGATTTTAAAATAATTTTTACATGGTATTTATTATTAATTATGATCAATGAGATTTRTTATGTATATATGTATGGGAGGGGGTATTTTGGGAATTATTTATAATTWTATAGTACTCGTATATACCCATACGAGTCTCACGCCCGCATTACGAACGCAGATAAAGCCAAGTTGTTTATCGCGGCAGCAGTTGCGTGGTGGATGGCTTATAAAGTTATAAATACTAAAAGTCTAAAACACAGAAATAATTGTCGATAAGATTATAGCAATATTATAATATCTAGGTCACAAGTTAATGTTTTTTGCATTATTGAGAATAATTTTCTTTCAAATTTGGGAAAATGTTATTTCATTTTTAACTTGCTTGGAATACTAAAAGTCTAAAACACAGAAATAATTGTCGATAAGATTATAGCAATATTATAATATCTAGGTCACAAGTTAATGTTTTTTGCATTATTGAGAATAATTTTCTTTCAAATTTGGGAAAATGTTATTTCATTTTTAACTTGCTTGGAATATTGAAATAAAAGTTCATTTTAATTTTCAATTTGTTATTATAAATTTTGAGGTAATGCCTTATATTTAGGTATCTAGATAAAAATAATTTTATCTATCTATATCTAGATAAATTCAATTTCTACAGTATTTATCTATATCTAAATAATTTTAAATCTAGATATCTTATCTATATATATACATATTTTTTTTATTTAATCACAACACTGTTCGGACTCACTCCACTCGAAATCTAAAATGTAATACAAGGTTCCACATACCCATTCAGCCGTAAACAAATGGATTCTCGTCCAGCGATTTTCTGAAATTATCACGAAATTTTTATTTAATGACTTTCTATATATTGAACTATTTATAGATAGTTAAACACATTTTAGATTTTTTTTTGTCTATAATTATTTTCGTTATATTTAAATACTTGAAAATTAAATACAATGTTCCTCATCGTAAGTTATTATAATAGCAGTTGAGAAATATTAAAGTTCTTAGGCACAATTTTTTATAATTTTTTTTTTTTTAATCATTTAAAGTTCAAATTTCCGAATTAATTTTTAGTTGAAAAATCACAAAATGTTRAACTTTTATACTTAAAGGGGCAAACTTAAAAAAAAAATGTCTAATAAGTAGTTCATACTGGAACTATGAGATCTTAAAAAATATACAAACATGACAATTTAATTGACATTTGAAATTTAAATTTTGACCAAATTAAATGTATTCATCCGAAGATTAATGATTCAAGTTATGTAATTGTAATTTAAAAATATTTTTTTAAAGTATAAACTTACAATCCATCAGAATTGTTTTCGAAGGCAATAATATTTTACTATCGAATTTTCAAATTGAACAACATTTATTACATTGGCTCACTTGTAAGTTACAACAACTGTATAGCAGATAAGATGAAATCAGCGCAAAATTTCTTTTATCACAGACCCACACGCATACAAAAGGCATCGATGTAAAAATAGATTTTATCAATTATGAGTAGTCTACATRCAAAATAACCTATCACGAAAATGATAGATATTAATATTATTRAGGGTTAACATATCGGTTTTTAGTTGTTTTACTATTTGATTTCATATGCTTGGCTTTTAAATGAAATGTTCGTAAATTTAAATTTAAATTACATTATTTTCAAAGAAGGTACATAGTACATAGTACTCAAAAACGATTATGTCCGGTAATTGGTTTCTAAAAAGCACTGCTATTACYCCTTAAAAACAAAAACTTTCAGAATGTATCAGATCTATAAACCAGGACAAGGCGCATCGTGAAACTTTTTAATTCGCCTTTTACACAAATTAGAGTTAGTCGAAAATAATAATAAAACCAAACAACATCGTCGTCGCAAAACAAATAAGGATTGCATTATATTTAGCTTCGTTAGGGATTTCAAATTTAAAACACTTAACAGATAGCAGCTTATTCTAATTGCATGCAAGCATTATTTGTTGTATACACATTACTCCTAAAACAATTTTACACCCTTATAAGTACGTTAGTTTGTTTTTTCTTCCTGATTATTCCTCAGACCTAAACAACCCAGTGGTGGAGTGGAGAGAAACACTTTGTTTTGTTTCCTACTAACATCAGTGCCTGTAGAACCTAACCTAACTATTTAAACAAAAAAGGTCATCTATAGTATAATACATGCATAAATATTAATTAGATTAATTATTTCATATCACAATATTATATTTTAGTTAATTTAGTTATTGAGCCAGTGGCATAGCCAKGGGGAGGGCTAAGGGGGATGTATCACCTCCCCCAGAAAAAAATGTTGAGAAAATTTAAAGTTATTTTTATGGTTTATGAAAGTCGTTAAAAACGTCTTAAATTGTATTTTTTAAATATAAAGAGAAAATTCAACGTATTTTTTTTAATGTTTTTATCAAGTAAAATATACAAATACAAAACTTTAAATGAAATTAATTTTTATTGCTTTGTTTCCTGAAAATGTTTCAATTAAATCTCCATAATTTAAATTTCCCAAATTCCATTCTCTATTGAAATAAAGGCAGAGACAGAAAGTTTCTTATGAACGATAGCAAAAATACTGCGATCTATACGATAATACAAGATACCCTGTACTAAAATAGTGGTGAACAAATTGTAATAATTTCCTCTCGAGATTGCTACTAAATAGTCTAATATAACTCCTTAAAATATGATGATAATTATGAAAAATATGGAATTGAATAATTATTAATGGGCCGCTTGACTCAAGGTCATATTTAATCCTTATTTTCAGAGCTAAAGGAGGAAACAACTAACACCAGATACATCAAAAATTCAATCAGCTATCCGTTATGAATATGTGTAATTTTTTTATTAGTCCTTCAAATAATGCCAATAACTACGAAAAAGATGCTTCTGAATTTTTGGCTTTATCAAAAGACATAAAAACTTCAATTATTACTCTAGATAAATCACATCATAAYGAATCAGAAGTAGTAGATAATATTGAGTATATTTTAATGAACGATTAAACTGMAAATAGTGTGGCATATGTAACAGGTTGCGGGTTTGTAGCCAATTGGACTCGTGTATTAAAAAACTGACTACAAAACATAAGGATACTAATAAAAAATTTGATCTTGACAATACTCACATTGGTCTAGAGTAATATGAAGACTGTAGTTTACTTTTTCCTCTTGAAAAAACATTGGAATTCACTAAACATGTTTTTACACTTTTGTATGCAAACATTAAAACATTATTCTAAACAAAAAATATAATTTAAAAAAGGATCTTCAACTCATAATGAGCCATGTTYGTGAAAGRTACTCACTCAATATAATATGTAAAGACTGCAATAATCTATTTTTAAATATTTTTTTTAAACGAAATAGTAATTATTATGTAAAGAAGTGCAATAATTCATTTAACCAACATTAATGTTCAAAAATAAAAAGTTGAWAAAATTAATTCACTTTTGAGTACAATGTTTACTAAGATGATAAATTATTATTATTATATATTATAATATGTTTTAAATACGTATACTATAATTTTACATTTTAGGTTGTGTTGTATAAATATAATGAAAAAGTACAAATACTATGTAATCTAAAATCTAGATAATTTAATATTTCTAAATAAAAACTAGACAATAGTATTAATCATGGTCAAGTTAAGTAGGTACATAGATCGGTGTTACGAATTAATTTGTTTCCATAAACATTTCAAGGGAATAAAATAGGCAACTATCTTAACGATCTCTGAGTGAAATTATAAGACATAGGTAATTTACCAGTTTTTTTATGCCATTGTCCTGTACTATCGTATATATTCGATATTTGCATTTTAGACATAGGCAGCTCTTAAAGTTATAGAAATATTATGAGATTAATATTTTCGGTCTTAATTTAAAAAATCAAGACATAACTTTTTGCTCTTAAAATATGCGAGAGTATGGGCCCGGCTAGCTTCGCTCCAAAGAGCGTACATCTGATGTATATTTTTACTGGCTTAATGGGGCGTTATTCATTTAGGCAAATGACCCAAAATTTACCTGAATAGGGCACATATCATTTGGGCGAATTTATAAATAATTAAATAATAAATAAGTAACATACACGAATTTATGTGGTATGAAATTATTGATTTATGTAATACCTTAGCGAATACTAAATTAAATATTACTAAACTTTATTCGGATTTTGAAATTACCACTCATAAATCAGTACTCGGATGTTTTTTAACATACCAAATTATTTGTTGTCTTCCATCTTGCACAAAATTTGTTTGAAAAATTCAGCAAAATATTGTTTTACCAAAGCATTATTTGAACAATAACTCAGAAATGTATGATTGGTTGAAATGTTTTTTTGGTTTAACCACTATTGCCATCAGATTAAACTAAATATGAATTTATAGAGTTGATGTCGGTTTTTCTGACCGATATTTTTGATTTTTCAGACTATATTCTAAATAATTACATTGCAGAAGATGCTGAATTCCCGCCTTCGCTGTGGGCAAAATAACTAACTGACGAACCTCGTATTACTAATGAGGCTAAATCATTTCACAGTAGTTATAACTAAAAAAGGAAAACGTGTTATTTAATATAAGCTCGCCCAAACGATGTATTAGATAAATTAGGGTACGTGTAAATTTGGTCAAAATGATTTGTATAAATTAGCCCAAACTAATATATAATTTTGGACCATTCACCCAAGTGAAAGCCACCCTATATTAATGGAAGTTATAACAGGTTAGGTACATAAAAAATGTTAATTTATATTGTGGAATAATTTCAATATTTATTTCGTGATAAAATGTATATATATATTTTATACACAAGTCAGATCTTAACTATTGTATGTGTGGGTACAAATGTTATGGTATTAAATTTAATACCACCTAACATACACGAAACACCACGTCCCAACGCCGTACAACCATTTTTAAGGGGTTTTATGTTATGATAATATCATATGCAATTATAGCGACATATTGAAAAAAATTAAAATCTTAAATATTTAATTACTTTCAAGTTGGTTGTCAGTTAATTGATTAACAAATTAATTGTAAGTATTGAAATATCACAATATTATAGAAAAACAGTTTCTAACGTTAAAATGCCTAAGTATCAAACAATTGCATTGTATAATCCACAGCATTGGTTTAGAAACTAAATTGTTAACGTCAAAAGAACTCTGTACGTACAATATCAAATAAATGAAAAT